AATGTAAAGTATGGATATTCTTTTTTTTTTTTTTTTTTTTTTTTTAACGAATAGATAATACAACAGTTGACAGGCAAGTGAAACGAGTAACTCAGAGAATGAATGGACAAAGAAAAAGAGAGGCAGACAGATAGAGTAAGTTATGTATAACAAACGATGACGGTAATAGCACCATCAGCCCACAATAGTAACGACAGAAACAGACAGAACCAGATGGTATAGACAGAGATGGTGGGTGAAAGAAAAAAGACCTAGAAAATGCTGCGAGGGCACGACTAAATTTCGTTTCTTCGGAGCTTCCCGAAAATTCAAAGTAACCCACTACCGAGCTTTTGTAGTAGAAAACAGGGTGTAGCAGTACATGGCAAAGATTGGCGTGGAGAAAGTTTTGGTTGCAGAGTAGTGATTATTTATAGGCACGGATACAATGTACATTGAAAAGAAGGGGGCGGGGGAAGAGGGGCCACACGTTGGGCCAGGGGAGAAAGACGAACGAGTATACATCAGAGAGTCGCTCTTTAGCTTAGATACAAGTCTCGTGGACTACTTTGGGCAGTTCCGGGAGATTATTGGCGTTTGATTTGAGGGAGCTAACGTTGTTCGCGTCTTCGTGCTGCTGTCTCCCGTTGTTCTGCTGCTGCTGCTGCTGCTGCTGCTGCTGCTGCTGTTGGTTTTGGTGGTGGTGATGGTGGTGCGAGTGGTGTTGATGGTGCGGGTGGTGATGATTGCCGGTGCCAGGCACGTGCAGCAGAAGAGGAGACGCTGCCCCTCGGGCTCCGTCGTGTTCGGCGTTGTTGGGCTGAGTGGTTGAGTTTTTGAGCTTTTTGGCTGCCGCCGCCGCCGCCGATTTCGGATCCTCGTCAATGTACGTGAAGTCTGATAGGGGACGGGGCCCGGTGTGGCTGCGCGAGCTGCGCATACTGTGTAAGCTGTGCAAACTATGGACGGAGCGACGCTCCTCTAGGTCTTCCAGAGTTGATCTGAACGCTCGGATAACCCGAAGCTGCAACGAGAAGAGCAATCGGACACGGAGCCGACATTGGCTGAATCTGCAGTCGTAAGCTCCGCGTGTCTGCTGTGTGGGTGTATGCGTTTTGTGTATTCATGTTGTATGTTGGTTCATCATATTTTTTTTGTGTGCTTGTTTTCTGGTGACTTGTTTTCTTTTTTGTTTTCTTTTCTTTTTTGTAGAAACAGTGAGGGAAAAAAAAGAGAATAAAGAGAGTCAGAGAGTTATAGTTTGAGAGAACAGAGAGTCGGTGGGCGCAAGTTTCCTACGACGTGTAATACAACGTTGCGCAAAGACGAGACAGGCTTGAAGAGACAGAGAACGTAGGGAGAAAATAGTTGCAAAGTATCGTGTCAGTATTTCCCTTTTGACGTTTTAATTTGACTTTAACAAGAGAAAGAGAGACGAGAGAGATTAAACGAGTATATGTATATACGCATAAACACTTTTTTCGGGATTTATTGTGCGCACCTGTCTTAAATGTATAAATACTTGTACATTGTTTTGGAGCGTAGTCTCGTTTTTACCATTAGATACATGACAAACATGTACAAAGACATGAGAGTGGGGAGAAACGGAACAACCAAGGGGCATGATTGGCAGTGTAGGTTTAAGGGGTACTATGCAAATCATTACTTCACAAGATAGTTTACTTATTTATTACGGAGTATTAGGGTAAGGAGACTGCTGCGACGCCGTTTGTCTCATACTTTTGTGCTTCCATGTTTGCTTCGTTTTTTTTTTTTTTTTTTTTTTTTTTCTTCAATATTTCATTCTTGCGATTGTGAAGACGAGGAGAACAAAGATGAGTGGCACACGCCGACCGAAAACTTGGTCGAGCTCGCATCATTTGAGAGAGAAAGACCGAGATGAAGATGGTGTATTGTTTTGTGCACTGTTCCGACAGGATGAAAAATAAAAGATTCTAATGGATGCGAGAGAACCAAGTAATTTTATTGAAGAATTACAGTTTCGAGTTTTGGTTGAATTTAAAGCATCTGTAACATCCTGCAACCATTTTAAAATAATGTCCTGATTCGCAAGAGACATTTAATCGTATTAGTGTTCAACCAATTAGTTAAAAAAAAAAAGTCTTAAACACTAGTGTAAGAGATTTGGAAAATAAAATGCCAAAATTTAAATTTAGCTTTAATAGGAAGTTAGCTTTCAACATCAACGGGACTGTCGCAACAACAGGGGTTTCGGTCGACGAGCGCAACACATCGAGCGGGACAGTGGTAACATCAGCCAATATAAAAATGCGGTTTTAAAGCGCAAATTATGTTTTTGGTTTTATATACGGATAACAAAAAAATCATACAAAGGTCTGGGTCTTTGCGTTACCATTACAAAAATGATCAATCGCAAATATGTATTGGAAAAAAATAGTCACAAGAAAAAAAATATAAGTAGCACAAACGAGCACGCACGAATGTTATATTGGGCAGAGAATACGTACCTATTTCGTTTTACTTTGGTCATTAGCTTACAGAGGAGACAGACTCACCGCACTTACAGCAATCTGAGAACACTTGCTTGAATAATTGATAGGTGGTCGTGAAACGTAGCCACCCTCAAGAGGAGTCACTCCCGAGCATTATTTCGTTTACTTTTCACTTGAACATTTGTGTATTTACATATACATTTGTATTGGTTTAAATAATGACAATGTACAATCATAGCATTGGCAAGTAAAAGTAAAAATTATGCGAGGACAAAGTATCGATAAAAATTGAATGGTTTAGTTAACAATTTTTTGGTAGTGCATACTTTTCATTTTTTCAAATATTTTTTATTGATACTTTGACCTAAAAAATAAATTATATACAAAGCTTATTGGCAAAGCGTTAATTTTATGCGTTTTTCACGTATAATCGATAGAATGTACAAAAATAAAATATATCGTCGGAAGTAACTCATCTTTTCGAGGCTGCGTTGGGTATGAATCTAATGCGCCTTACCGATATAATTTGTCCAGGCACGATTTATCGATCGTGCAAAAATGTAACATGATAAAAGCACCGCATGCAACTTATCGTATACGTATCGTGTTATCGACAACATCAACGTATATATTTATGTTTGCGTATATAATATATTTATGTCCTACTATCAATGCAGTATACTGTCTTGTTATTTTGTATCATTAAACTTTACTTTTTTTTATTTTTTTTTATTTTTACATCGTTTAATTATTATTTGATAGTTTTACGTATAAAACACGTGTGAAGAGTTTACAAATGTCTTTTTTTTGTATTAATGTTTTATGATTACATTTACTTCGACGTGTTATTGTAATGTCTATGCTCGGTTTAAAAATGGTCCGCAACAGTCCTGAACCAAGCGATTCGCTTAAAAAACATATAATGTGTAGTACATAACTTTTAAATTCAAGTTAATGTGAGCACACATAATTATTAAATTTTTTTTTTTATAACAGAAATAGAGAAAAAGTGATATAGTTGTAGAAAAATAGAGAATAGAAAAATATTTAAAGTATGGTGAAACCATTCATAAGTAGGTTATTTCAATTAATACATCCTTTCTAAAAGGCCCTGATTTTTTAGAACTTTTCGAAGGATGCATACATTTTTTTTCAATTTTAATCTCTATAGTGTATGCGAACTCGAAGTAACGACGATTAAAAATGACAAAAGAATTCTTAAGAAAATGTTTTTAGAAAGTTGGAATAAGAAAAAAATTATTTGTCGAACAAACTGTCCTGCATACTATTTTGGCGTGTGTGCAGTATATGCATACATGTGAACAAAACAAAAATCACATACTCTTATACATAGGCTATATTATTTCCGTACAGCTTAATTTTAGAAATTTTTCATAACAACTATATTAAATTATTTTTATGACCAACTAACTTNGCATACGCACGACTTGACCCACCAGCTTAAAAGTAAGTACAAGTAAAGAATGGTAAAAAAAACAACGTATCATACGACAGGCGATCGTCTAGTTGCATCTGTGATGGTTGCATTGTCGTGTACGTACTAACAAAATAATAAAAAAATTATATAAAATGTATATAAATATGGGTAACTTGTAAAAACATTATAATTATTAGAGTGACGGCATTAAACGCTGACACTTGTGTAATATTTTTTTCAAAGTTTTTTTTAATTTGCAATAACATTTACCAAGGGGTATGATGTATTGCAAATGCGAAGTTTAAAAACTTAATATCAATAGAAAAGAATACGACACACGATTTTAAATAATCATGAAAAGCGTTATCTTAATATTATACAAATAAGAAAAAATGCGACAAATCTATATTACAAAATATATACATCACACGTTACAAAATTATCACGCGGAAACATACGCACACGCTGCACACACAAAAAATATCAAAAAGCCAGTGCCAAAATATAGTATAAGATTAAAAATTGGTGGCATTTTTTTCATCAGGCCTCAAATTCATATAAGAAAAATTCGTTTATTCCTTACGTATATAATTATCTAGCGAAGCATAAATAGCGGTAAAATATATTTGCTTCATAGCAAGCGGCTTTTCAGCACACAAAAGTCATATATACCTATAAAATTAACAGTTAAACAAACGTTAAGACTTTAGAAGCAAGATTTGTTTAAAATATATAGATGTATGTATATAAAAGTACCACAGCTTCATAAAACGACAACCCAATGTCAAAGTCGAGATTCCAGTTTATATTTGGCAATAGTCTAAAAAATTATTGAGAAAAATTGTCAATTTCCGCAGCTGAGATTTCTCTATATTGTACGTATGATTATTTTTTTTATTTCGCGCACGATGTCTTGACTTATCATCGATGTGATTGCCAAAATAATGCTGCGTTCGTCACATTTTCGGAAAAATATTATTGTAATCTGCGAATTAATATTAGACTAAACTGGGTTACCACTCAGACAAGGGGATTCCAACGCATTGTTAAATTAAAAAAGAAAAAATTTACAGTCAAGTAAATTATAAAAGCAACACACGCTTTGTATGCAACAATGTCAATAGGCGTGGCACACCAACGTTAATTAAAAAAAAAAAAAGGCACACCCACACATACATAAAAGTAATAAATCGTTCTATGTTTAATGTGTACATTAACGGCTTGTAAAAAGTTCAAACGAAAAAACATTAGATACCAAACAAAGTCACAATAAAAACTCTGCGCAGCTGCAGTGCATTCGGCAAATCATATATTGTTGATGGTTGGTTTGTTGAGGATTTGTGGTCAACGTATACAGAAAAAAATAAAACCACGTAACCACATTATGTGTGTGTAAAACAATTGTTATGTTTACTTTGAGTACAAAAAACGGCTAGATCTTTCATTTCTGACCTCTGGTTTAGCGATTCACTAGCTTTTATGCTGTGGGTTAATTAGATTTGTACAAGAGAGTGAACCGTAAAAAATGAAGGTACACAGTAGAGTCAAGTAGTTAGTAGTAAAAGAAAAAATAAACGCAAAAAAGAAAAATATGCGCAGCTTGCAGCAAGCGCTTTTGCATATGTAAACAAAAACAACAAAAAAAATGAAAACTAAAACACACATATTGCACGCACGCGCACACAATGTAAATACAGATAAAAAAAAAACAGGCAGATATATAGATAAAAACACAGAGACAGAGACATAGATATAGATTTTTAAAAAAATATCAGATAAAAGTTGTAAGTGTAAACAAACGAACGTGACATAGAGATACAAAAGGATTGCAATTGATACAGAAACAGATACAACAAGACAACGAAAGTATCAGAGAAGAAAGGAGTGTTGGGAATGTACGATAGTTAGTCGCCAATGTAATTTAGTAATGGATAAATTTTGTTTCTGTTCAACGGGGATTATAATTGTTGAGGATAAATTTTGAATAGGTTCACATTGGATTGAACATCTAGATTCATCCCGTATGATTTTAACAATTTTTAAACAATCAGCAAGGGCTAAAAAATCCAATACGGAACACGCAACACACTCATCAGACATATCTATGGTAAG